TTAGTTTTATATTTGCCCTGAAGTTTTAAAAGACATAAATAAAAATAAAGTAACTCTTAAAATTCTACCTCTCAATGCATGAAGAGTCTACAAATCTCTACAACTACCACTGTCTATAAATGCTGCAGTGAGTCTCCTATGAAAAGTAAGATTTCACTGCAACATCTTACCTTTCTGTTAAAATCACAAATACAGACACAAGAAAGAGTCTTCATTTAAAACTATCACTACGAAGACATGGTGTCTTCAAAATTATCAGCTTAAATCATACTCACCTAAAGTGCCAAGATGGGTAAGTCAGGAGAAGGTTTTAGGAAACTCCTGAGATGTTTCTGCTTTTATACCTTTTTGCAGGCAACTCTAGGGATGTGAAGCATATCATAAAATCTCTAACCCTTACCAAACGATGGGGTTTCTTTCCTGGGTGACTCCTCTAATAACTGCAATTATTTTCATAGATTCTAATTAATAAATCATCCACAGACCTACACAATATGACTCTCATATAATAAACTTGGGCTTTCTATTGTGTTGAAATTATATAGCCAAATTTCTGTTCAATATTAATTTGCTGACTACCCTTTATTGAGTACTCCTTACAATATTTTGGCCCCCAAAAAGGGACACCCAAAAGATTCTACCCTACAAGTCTGCTTTCAAGAATGACCTGACCCTGATGCTGATGAACAAGAGGTAATTTTGAAGTTCAGCCTCACTTCTAGGTTTGAGATCCACCATGGACTAAAAAGACCTGGTGATGTTTGGGTATGCCCTTGCAGTGGCCTCACTGACATTTTCATCACAAGGTTCTATGCGTAGCATCCCAGAATGAATTTTGACACATGGATAAAATTACTCAGATGGCTCAGAGCTTCAAGGAGGTGCCATGTGTCACTTCAATCCCAGTTACCTGTGTTTTGAAACACTTCTGAAGGGCCTTGTCCTGCCCAGTGCTCAAGAATAATTCGTGAGGCCTCATTCTGTCATGGTGCTGTATCATCCATTTGGTCAATAGGTACAGGTGGGGCTGCAAAGAATGCTGACCCCCCAATCCAAGGTGGGGTTGGACAATTCCATTTGGGAGGTATTATACCTAAACCTAAGGCTTACAAATATACTGGGACTGACGCACCAGTAAGCCACCTTCCTTAAAGCAATTATGGAGAAGTAATCAGAGAGCTCAACTCCTGTTTTGGTTGAAACCAGAATGATGCCAAGAAGATTTTTCCACTAAGTTTGAGACAAAAGGAAACTGCTGGGTGTTGGATGTCTGTCACTCAAAAGTAGGGATCACTAATTACGAATTGAAATTAAAACAATTACAAGGCTTAGAAGAGTATCTTTTTCTTGGTAAGTGACAAGAATTTAGTGAGCAATGGGTGACCTCATAGCTTTCCTATTGCCTAAGAAAGTGTATAAAAGGGTAGAGAACCAAGAAATCTTCTATTCTTCCATCTCCACTGATTTACTCCTCCAAGGCAACAGGGTAAGTCCAACTTCATTGCATGTCTTTGTAGCAATACGATACTTAAAACTTCTTTTTTATCTTGCAAAAAACTATCAATCTTTTGACAAGTCAAGGTAAAAAGAAGAATAGATTTAGCAAGAACTCCATGAAAAGCTAAGGAAAGGGAAGAACAGAGCAAGGAAGATTCTGTTACTTTCCTCTGGAGATTTTCTGAAATTACAGGCAAATACTTCCTGTAGATCTGCTTTGAAAAGGGAATGAATGGGGCTTTCTTGAGCAAGTAACTGTATAAGGATCAGGTAATCTACTCCCAGAGAAAAAAAGCAATACTATGTGAGATTTGGAAGAGTAAGGGATATAGATGGTACCCAAAGAAAGAAGAACAGAGAAACCCTGAAAGGGGTTAATCAGGAAGGAAATAGCAGGGAAAATGGAGACTGTGATGGAGGGTTGAACTGAGTGTTGATTATCAGCTGGAGGAGAAGGACAAGGTGCTCATACTGAGAACCTGTTAGCACCTGGCTGTGATGGTTTCCTGACTGTGATGGTTTCCTGACTGCATGTTGTCTTTCCCAGCTTCACCTCCATTCTCCAAGAACAATGATGAACAACAGTACTTCTGAATGCTTGGCTGCCTGTGAGATGGCATGCCCACAGCCATGTGCCTACAGCAGAAACCTTGAGCCCTGTGTAGCATCATGTGGAGACTCCAGAGCCGTGGTGTATGCCCCACCGGTCGTCCTCACGTTCCCGGGCCCGACTCTCAACAGCTGCTCTCAGGACAGTGTTGTGGGAACACCATTTCCCCAGACCTATGGTGCTTTGGCCCAGAATGGCTCTGATGAGTCCTATGGGATGGGGGGCTCCATTGGTTCTGGGGGCATGTCAGGGATGGGGGGTTCCTTTGGAGGCTCCTTTGGGTATGGAGGCTCCTCAGGGATGGGGGGTTCCTTTGGATCTAGGGGTTCCTTTGGTTCTGGGTGCGTGTCAGGAATGGGAGGTTCCTTTGGGTATGGAGGTATGTCAGGGATGAGGGGTTCCTTTGGGTATGGAGGTTCCTCAGGGATGGGGGGTTGTTACAGCAGGAGGTCCTACATCAGCAGCCGTGGATCCCGTCTTGGAAACTGTGGTTCATTCTAAGGCAGCCTGAACACCTGCACAACAGCTTAAAAGGAGAAAACACAAGATCCAGATCTGCATCTGGGGCTGGCTTTCAGAGATGGCGAAAGCCCATTGCATCAACGGGAGCCACCCTTGCTCTGTGCCTCTGAAAACTGGGCCCACACCTATTTCTTCCATGCTATGCCTCATCTTCTATCAATAGCAATTTCAGATGACGGCTTCTCTCTTTAAATTCTTATCTGGTGGAATGGGAATGCTTCAGAATTTGCAAGCGGGACTTTGCTGCAATGATTTCAGCTTTTCCTTGTAATGTGCAGTGCCTTTTATCATCAATATGGATGGTTTGGCTGCCTTTGGACTATGGAACAGATCATTAGTGAAACTGTGCCATTCTATTCTGTATCACTTCATGTCATATTAAAAGTCTTGTTGAATCATATTACTAGCTTTCTGGGTTTCATTTTCTTCCATTTTGATTTACAAACCAGTTTACGAACTAGTTTTAGTTAAATTGAACTCAGTGGGAAACAAAATAGCAGGTAGATCTCTGTGTATGTAAAGGGAAGTAGAATTTAATACCCTGATGACTAGGTGCATGAAAGCATCTATCTCACTGTTCTTTCTGTACAGAAGTATTTATACTTATTTTAGTGGCTGAGCCTGGAAGGAGTCATTCCCAAGTACTCATTTTAATATGAGAACATTTGGGTAATGTGGTTTGCAGAGGATGAGTGGTAGTTGTGCCTGCATTCAGCTTCATGCCCAGTATTGCAGCTGCCCAGTACTAAAAGGATCAGAGTCAGCAATTCTGAGGCAGAGCCAGGAATGTCTATATGAACTGCCATACAGGTGGCTTCAGTGAAGGTGATGCCTCACAGTTTACAAAGGAGAGTTACACCCCCGCATAATTCTTACTCAATAGGCTGAGCAATGAAACATTGAGTAATGAGAGTGAAAATTGCTGGGGCATTGCTGCCACAATCTTTTCTGCAGCATGCTAGAGCAAAACCTGGTGTTCCTAAGCCTAGACTAGAAGTGGAGTTACAATAGCTAAGTAACTTTGGGGTACTTTGGGACCCCAGTGTGTACACACACATCTCTCCAAGTGTCTTCAAGCAGCTAAGAATACCAATTCTGCGCTAGAAGAAAGGACTTTATTTTGCCTTTTAATGTTAAAATATATAGTATTATTTAAATCTGTGGATTATAGTCCAACTAGCAGAACATCATTGCTTTGCCTGATAGGTGTCTTGTAAAGTAATGCCATTACCTCTGGGTGATACAATTCAAGCAATATTCAGTTAATGTTATGGTGCAGTCCATTGCTGCATAAACCCACAAATATGAGTAGAACTATTTGAATATTTCTGCAAAGATTTTCTGGTTGAAATTCCAGCTTCACCAAAAGACTTGCAGACATATTACCTAATGTGCACAAGATATCAGTGAAAACCCCAACAATTTAAAACCAGATGCAAAGTTCTGGTGGAAGAATCTGTTTCTTGGACAGTTCTGGCAATGATTGTACATGAGACACTTTGTGATTCTTAATCTGAGAGAGCATGTAGCTGTTGCCTGAGGGAGCCCATGGTGATGCTTAACTACCTCAGATCATTTACTGCATAAATGCTTCAATTAAGTTAACAAACCACAAGGATTAATACAATCAAAGGAAGGAAATTAATGTTATGCTTGGCACAGCAGCACTTGCTCAGCCCACGCAGGAGCCCTCTCTTTTCATCAACACCAGAACAATGGAAATGGCTCCTAAAGAGAAACGTTGATACAGCTGCTGGGGTGAATTTCCCAGCTTCAAGGCACATCACAGAGTGCAAGACTTGTAGTCTGATTCTCAGTTGCATACAGATAACTTCTTTCCACTCCTTTTGGCTCTGCCTCCCCACAGTACTCAGATCTAGACTAACCCATTCGCCTCTGCAGCCTGTAATCAATTTTACCATCAAGGTTAGATAAATCAGAGCACATCTTTGCCTTCTGATAGAGTCAGAGGCCGAGTAGTCATTTCAACTGCTGCTGAGGGTTAAAATAATTTCCTTTGGGATGTTCAAGGAAAGACTGCTGATGTCCCAGAGTAACTGACCTAGCTTCAAAGTTATCTTGGTTTTGAGAGGGAACTGTATCAGATCAACTCCAGAGATGGAGATAGAATAGAACTATGATTTTGTTCTATTAGCATGGTATATATCAGAAGGGGAAAAAACACCTTGTTGAAAGATTTCTGACAAATTGTGTGGGTCATACAGAAGAATTAATTCCTTTCTGATGATAGTCCTCAATTAATGTATAAGAATTGATACACAAAGTTAACTTTGCTCAGACTAATTTGCAACTATGAGACTACAGTGAAATAAAAGACAGAAGATGGTGCTATGATGCAGCAGGGCTTTAATAGAAACAAAGACTGGAATACATTCTTGCAGAATGAGGCAAGGAAGAGACAAAGAATGTAATTTCCATTTCAAACAAGTGCTACAATCAATCAATCGTTCAGAGCAGCACAGGGCTCACAAGGTGTTCTTCTTTCAGCTGGATGCTTTTACAGTCAAATTCCATTACTTGGTTTACCCTTTTCAGGTTCAGAAAGAACAAAACATAACATGAGCAAATGACAAAGTGAGGCAACATTGGGATCATAAGCCTTAGATAAAGCGCAATGAGATCCCAAGCAACCCCAGCTCCTCTGACATAGGCTGGAGCAGAGGCTGCTTGGCATGTCTGATTTCCAGGTCTATATGTCAGCTACTAGCTTGTATTTTACTATTTCTCCAGTCATTAATCTTTCTTAAAGATTTAAAATGGCCCATAATTTCCATAGCGATACCTATAATACCCTCTGGAAAAAAAGGGGGAATAATATCTACCATATCCTGAAAAATATGAGTTTCGGTAAAAGTTTCCCAAACGGGAGAATCCACCACCACATGAGCTTTCCCCACCATATGAGCCCCCTCCTATGCCACCACAAGAACCGCCTGAACCATGAGAGCCCGTCCCGTAGGAGCTGCCTCCACCACAGGAACCACCAGAGCCTATTCCTCCACCTCCGGAGCCAATTCCACCTCCAGAACCTATTCCTCCACCTCCAGAACCTATTCCTCCACCTCCAGAGCCAATCTGACCCTCAATTTCAGGCATAGCAGTTCCCACAAAACTCTCCTGAGGGCAGGAGCTTATAATGGGTCCTGGGAAAGTCACGACAACGGGCGGTGCATACACGATTGCTCTTGAGTCTCCACATGAGCTGACACAAGGTTCGTTCCAACAGTTGACATATGGTTGTGGGCATGTTACTTCACATGGCTCAGCACAGCGGGAGCTAATCATCTGTCCATAGGAAGACATCTTTGCAGAAAACAAACCAACCTGAAAGGCAGAGAGTGCACTGGTCTGGTAAAGTTACAGTCAAAAGAGTGGAAGAACAAATTGTTATAGTAATGTGGAATGGTATTCATCTGAGCAGATGCAGATTCACAGGTCTGAGTCAACTACACTAAACTTCATAGAATCATGGAATGATTTGGGTTGGAAAGGAGCTTAAGATCGTCTAGTTCCAACTCTCTTGTCATGGCCATGGGAGATGAAACCTGACACTGGACCAGGTTGCTCCAAGCCCCATCCAACCTGGCCTTGAAAACTGCCACAGATGGAGCATTCACCACTTCTTTGGGCAACCTGTTCCAATGCCTCACCACCTTAAAATTTAAGAGTTGGCGATTAAAAAAAAAAATAAATCATGATTTCTAAGGTACAATCCATTCCATTCTAAAGTGGACTTATGCATTACAGATATCACCAACCAAGTGAGATGAATTACTGGGTAGGGGGTTCTGAGTCTACTCCCATCACTCTCTAGTGCTCCATTGCCCCATAGTCTATTCCCAAAATGATTTCTGGGAAGAATGTCTCTCCTTCCTTTTCTAACATCATTCCCTTTGCAGTACTTTGGTCTGGGAGTCAGTCTCAGTCATATGTCCCAGTCCCTATGCTGATAGTTTCTGGGCTATCCTGTCTCCATAGATAGATACTCAATTCCTAGGAATTGCTGCTGTCTACATTTTTGGAACTCCCTTTCCTTTTTTCCCCCATACACGTGGCAATGTCTGTATTCACCCTATTTAAAAGTTACAGTTCCCAACTAAAATGATTTTAGATAATAAGGTCCTACCTTTAAATAGGGTATAGGATATATAACCTCATATTAATGCTACCTATAAATCCACATCTATAATTATGAACTGATTCAGTTAAATCAGACTTACCCAGTCACCAAGAAGAGCAAGTCAGCAGAGGCAGCTACAGAGATCTGAGTTACGAGCACTTTTATATGCTGTCATAGAGAATAGAAATTGGGAGATACCTTTACGCAACCGTTCTCCACATCTTGTGAAACAGAATATTTTCCCCTGGTGATGCCTGCCTTTGTTGCAACTGTTTTGATAACAGCTTATGATTATTAGATAAATTCTAATCCCACATGGCATGATGCACAAGCTTCAACAATCTTGTCTTTTTGCTGAAAATCTCACAATAAATTGAGGTTAGTTTTCTCTTCAATACTTGCTAGTACTTGTGAAGGCACCTCAGAGATGGATAAACTGCATGCTGCTAGTAAGTAGAGGATTCCAGATTATCGTTTGTCATTGCAGGTAACAATAACCAGTGGCCTTCTGGATTTTTCCTCTTTATAACTAGGAAATCTTTTTATGTTAAATAGCCATTAGTGTCCATGGCCATTCTGTACTCATTCCAGGGGCTTTGGGACTACAGTTTATGGCTTGGGACTGTCCTTTGGACAGATGTTCCTACATGACTATACCATGTCCAGAGTGAGTAGAAAGTAAGAGACACAAAAGCAACTCACAGACAAAATAACCCAATAAGAATTAGCAACGTCAGAGGTTTTTCAATTTATCATCATTTCCTCATCCCAAGGAATCACTCGTTTCCAAAGGGCCTTCAGAATAAACAACAAAACCGCATTAATAACTACGAATTTTCCTTTCTGAGAATGCTTGTTGGAAGCCATATGACAGGAAATATATATATCACCTGTGGGACTAGAGGATCCACAGGAAATATCACCTGAAGTACATGTCCATAACCTCAGTTAGAATAAATTCACAAGGCCTCAAAAACGCTGACACTGTGATTCACATAATCACATTTACATGAAAAAAAAAAACCAGCCCTCTTATCTGTGCTCTTGTGACGAATTATCAAAACCAAAACTAAAAAAAAACAAACAAACCCCAAAACCCAGATAATTTGGTTTAAATTTCATGATCATGAAATCAATAAAATGACCAGAGGAATGTATACGGCCAATAGAGATGTGAAAGCAAGCTGGACAGAATAACATGACTCACATAATTTGTGGGAATGAGAAGTAATTAATAATTACAGCAATCTACAGCTGAAGCAATTAAAGGAGTTACCAAACAAAATAGTTTTCAAAAGTTAATAAGGATCTCATTGTTTTTGAAGTTTTCCAAAGAAAACTTGTTTAAAACACAGATTAACTGACATTGCAGAAAATCACACTGGCTTGAGCATCTGCAGTTTTATTGTTGTAACAGGTGCTTTTCGCTGGTAAATTTAAGGGGAATTCAGTTTTTACATAAGGTAGAAAGCCATAAAAGCAGATACAGGCTTTCAAGCTCAAACTGTAGCCCTCATACTCTACAGATATCCTTTTAAAAATATAAGATACAAAATGCAAGAAAGCAAATGGCAATAGTCCAGCATCCTATTTTACAACACCTCTACCTGAGCGGCCTTACATCACCGAAATCTTTTAAAGAGAGAGATATAGATACTCTCCCTCACCAGGTGAAAGCAAAATTCTTCTGAAAACAGGAAGAAAAAACATCAAGGATTTTGCCTTTTTCCCTAAAAATCTGTTTCTTCATATGTAGAGCTGCATACATAAACCAGTGGTCTGGCCTGGCTGAGGAATCTGAGGCTTGGTGTTTACAGCTTTAGATTTACGCTCACATCGCATAAAGCAATCCTGAAGCATTACCTGAAAGATATCTCATGTTTTTCTACCATGCTGTTGTTGCTGTTGTTGTTGTTGTTGTTGTCGTCGGCTTTATTGATTTTTCTGTTTTAGAAATCCCAAGCCTGATCCTTACCCAGATACTTTGCATACAAAGATTAAATCTTAAAGAGGAAGCTGGTTTAATTGCTATTGCTCTCACCTTTGCTATGCTATAATTTTCTAAATTGGTCTGGAAGCTCCCTTGTCTGAAAGGAAATAGCCTATATTATTATCACAGATCGTAGCAAAACATTATCCTTAACCTTCATTTTTCCACAGATTTTATCACAGCAATTCCAGGCAGATAGTGCCTGTAAGAGAATAACAAACAACACAGTGCAGGCTAAAATATGGGAATCACTGTGCAGGAGTACAAACTTAGAGCAGCTTTTGATCCTGGACATCCACATTTGGACATACGTTTCCAGTGTGGTCTAAGAGCTGCCACCTGGAAACCTGTTTCCTAAACTGCTGAAACTGGAGGGTCGATATTACTGAGTGCTTCTTCATGCCTAATTGCAAGGCTGAAGATGAAATTAAGAACTGAAGGACTAGATAAGCACTGTGGGCTCTTTATCTGTATAGTCAGTGTTATTATATTGCCCAGACCACATCAGTATCTGATTTGTACTTTCATGTTTATTGTTAGTTGTGTATTACATTTACTTGATTCCTTTTGTTCAATCCTGTTAAAAAGAATAACTTGTTGTTTTGCTGGCAGCCTGTGTTTGGAGTTGTTGGAGATGGTTAAGTACAGGAAACCTTGTGACTGTGGGCCAAGCAGAGCACAAGACAACAGAGAAAAATGAGAAAAAGAGTCTAGATTGATGACAAAATTTCTAATTTTCCAGAAAAATTGATGTTTCCAGCAGTTCCCAAAATTGAAAGAACTTCATTTCTTCTTAAAATCCCACTCACATCTGACTACCATGTCTCAGGTTTTATCTTATAACAATCTCCAGTAACCATTTCTTAGAACCTTGCTTGTGTACCTATGTGGTTGCCACAGGAGAAAGGAAGACATAAGGGTTAGATTCAGTTCCAGATTGAGATAGCCACACTTGGGTGTCTGGAAATACATATCTCAGTTTCTCTTACAGTCAGCAGACATGTTTGGTAGAGCCTGGAGATGTCCATGCATTCATCTTTCCAATAAATGCTTGCATTTCATCAACTGAGCTGTTCTGACATCTCTTTGAAGTTCTGTCTAGTTGTCCTTCGAAGGCACTGGAAGTTTAGAAACCCCACTGATATGGAGACCTTGTTCAGCCGCCACTGACTATTTTAGTTTCCATTGGAACTAAGATGACTTTCTTCTAGTTTTTGCCTTTTCCACACTCCTCACTTAATCTCCTTTCAGCAAAATTCACCCTGATCCTAGGAGAAATTCATAGCCAATGACCTCAGTCTACTCATCTCCCATTTACATCCTGAATACCTAGTCTCATCTTCAAGTATTTTATGGCAAAATGAAGCTCTCATTATACGGGTTTTCTCTCTTCTGAATAGGTTTGGTTATGTTTTCTAGCTACAGTGCAACAAAAGGTAGGGATTAAATAATTATGCACACAAATAATTCTGAAGCTGAAGAATTCTTCCCTGCCACTAAATGAGATTTGCTCAGAGCTCAGGAATAATTACACTGCTGAAATTTTAATGGGCATCTTTCATCTTAAAAACAAAACAGAACTAATATTCTTTAATATATGAGGGCTGCTCTCCTGAGCAAAACCTGAGGGTATGTAAAATTGCAGCCCCAGGTGTAACTACAGCTGTGTATAATTTAGCTCTGTGTAAAAGCTGGCTAATCTATACTTCTCAGGCTGCACACAATATACCCATCACCCAGGCATGTTTTCCAGGTGAGACCCATCTTGCTTGACCAGCAACAGGGTTGTAGGATTTGGATGGCTACTGGGTCATCTGAAGTCCCCAGGTGTGGGAAAGGCTGATGTAGCAGCATTGATGAGGATCCTGGGTTGCTTCATAAATCAGCCAAGTCCAGCCCTATCCTACTCCACCTCACCCTACAAGGTTCAGGCTCTGAGCAGGAGACCTGCATCTTTGTCTCTGAGTGTGAGTTGCTGCAAAGAGGTGAAGGACCTCATTAAGAACCAAGAGCTTTTTAGAGGCAAGAAGGGCATAGTGGTGGGTACTTATTGGAGTAGCAACTGTGTATTCAAAGAGCCTGGAATAGCATGTTTGTACCATGGTGAAGAGGCATGGGAGTTAGTTCAGCCTTCTTGAAGTACCAGTGTGGTAGAGATGTCTATAGACCTGCTTTTTAATAAGGTGGGTGCTTGTGAGTCCAAGTTTTTGATTACTTACAGCGAAGTGCCTTGGAAATTTCAGTCTTCTAAATAGTTCACTTTTAATACTTTGTTAGTGCTTATGGTATGTGCTGATACTGCTAGAGTGGTTTCATGTTCTTGTATCACCTTATGGCTCACAGAGGGTGTGGTACTAATATCCAATTTAATAATTTATTAATTCTAAAGCTATTAATTATATATTCATTCTGGTTCATTACCTAATTAAGCCTATTAAATTCAGCAAGAAAAACTGGCAGCTGACTTTCAGTTCTTTTAAGGCTATTAGACTAAGAAAGCATTGATCTGGTGGCACAGAATGCTGAAATGAATTTACAGGTGAGCTTGGAGAGAGAGAAGGGTCTTCTCACAAAAGCGAAAGCAGAATTGTGCTGTCCAGAGAAAATGTCTGAGTTACGCTGCCACATCCCTTTCTGTTGCACATGTCTTTGTAGTACTGTTTCTTCCAACTTAGATCAATAAAACCAGAACTCCAGCTTGAGTAGAAAGCTGCTCCGAAGGCTCACCATACTCTTATCTTGCTCCAAATAACTCATGTAACAACTTGAAAAAGAGATTTTAAACAGAAGGAGCAACCCATGAAGGATCCGTTCTGCCCCTTTTGTCTCTGTCCTATGTCTTGGTCTTCATGACCCCATCATAAATTTGGATAGTGTGTGATATGGAATTATAATGACAGGTTATAAGTAATAAGACTAATAATAATTAGGTGTGTCTAAGTCTTAGATCCACCCTTATGTATAGAGTGTCCTTAGACAGGTTAGGTGGCTTTTGGGAATCAGCTGTCCCATAGTAAGATGGCAATTGTGCCATACAGGTGTAAAGAGAAAGAAGGTTTGCAAGAAGTGATGAGAGGATGATGTGGGATGATATGATGACAACGAAATGTGGCATCCTTTATAGTGACTGAAACAGAGTAAGGTAGAGGAACAGCTGAGCTCCCACACCAGGAGGCAATAGGGGTGGAAAGCATTGAAACAAGCAGTGTAAGAGCAACAGCATTTGAGGGAGGTAGTTACATGGCAGGCAAAGGAGGAGAGACCAAGAGTGAAGACCAAATTTCTAGAAAGATGCAGTATTATCAGAAATACTGGTTTGTTTTTTTTTGCGGGGTTCTTAATCAAAATGTCTCAAGATATGGCTTAGGCAGATGAGTAGAGAATATTGAGGGTTCTTTAAAAATGTGATGTGTCAACACACACTGAACGGACCCAAACAGTGTGTCTATATTTCGGATAGCAGAGCACTATCTTGCACAGCATGGATGTTACACACAAATTTTTTTCAAAAGGGATCAGGCTCTAAGTTCCTAGGCTTAAAGGCTAATGGCTCTTCTCTAAAAGCCCTCAGCAAAGCTCTTGGAGGTCAGATCATCATGCGCAAGGGGCATAATTCACAAGAAAAATAGAATCATAGAATCAACTACCTTGGAAAAGACCTCTAAGATCATCAAGTCCAACCATTACCCCAGCACTGCCAAAACCACCACTAAATCATGTCATTGAGGGCCTCGTCTACAGGGCTTTTGAACACTTAAAGCTATATTATTCTTGAAGAATGAAAGGTGTAAATCACTTCCTGAATCCCCTTGTGCAAGCAGGTTATTGTTAAACTCATTGAACTGCAGCACTAGCTGGGGTGTAGAGGATGAGTCAAGGCAGGGTCTTTTGGGCTGCAGGTTCCTGAGAGCTCCACCCTGCCCATGAGCTCATTGCCACATTTTTCACAACACTTTTTGTGTGAGCCAGGCAAACAACAAAGCTTCTATCTCTCACCTGCCTCCCAGCTTATCTAGGGCGTGACCCGGTTCACAAGCTAATCTTCAAAGATAGAGTAATTACATCTTCATATTAGATCAATAAAGTAGGGCACATAATAATGTCTGCAAGATAAACTAGAAGATTTATAGGAGTTCCCATCCTGTCAAATGAAATATATATATATATACACCCCAAACGTTTGAGGGGCTCATTTTAGAAGGATTTACAGGGTGCAGGAGAATTTATGGGCTGATCATGTTCCAGGTGGATGGCCAGGTGAGCCAGCTGAGAAGACAGCAAATCGCTGAGAATATAGCAAATCACTGTGAAGGTGAAAGCCTGGGGGCTGCAACAGGCAGATGGGTAAACTAGCTTCCCAGGGAGACTGGCAGGAATCCAGGCTGCTAAGCATGTTTTCATATGATGTTTTAACATTGCTGTAAAGTTTTCTGCAATCCCTTTTCTCTTTGATGAAGTGCCTGGGAAAACAACAGCCTCTGGATGTGACCACAGGAGCTGCTTGTAGAATAAGGTGTGCACCCAGATGTTCATGGACATCTGCCTCCACAGATGAGAGCAAATCATTAAATAACAGGTTTCAAGACTTGACAAGCCCAACAACGGGGAATTAGAGTTTAACCAGCTTTCACATATCAGTTTTAGGGACAAGTTTACCTAGGAATTTTATTTCACTTCTGTTAAACTGGGCTTTTAGCTTGCAAAGACTAGCAGAGGTGCCCAAGTATAACTGCAGTAA